GCCATAAAACATTTGCAGAAACATTCATTTTATTGTTGTTTAATTCGTTCAGTTTCAAATCCATATATGGATAAGGTGATTAATTAGATAATGAGTCTATTCAAATATTAACCTTACCAAGAAACTCATCATCTCACTATACTTGTACGCCAGAACTTATCTGCAACCATCCCTTAAAGAGTCAACTACCTTAATGTACTTATTTTCCACGGCACATCTAAATCTTACCAATCTTCATTCATATATATACACGGACACCTGAATCCATTATAGGCCCCCACAGACACACATGTCTTCTGGCAAGAAATGGTGTTTTAAGAATATATTCGGAGCCAATGGAGTGTGTGGATGTGGGAGGACAAAGAAAGAAGACATTTTCGAGCCAAAAGCAAAGCCCGAAACCCCATCAGAAAATCTTAAGTCTCTGGATGAAAATGAAGAGGATTGCACTTCCTCCACATTTTCTCTGAACAATGAAACCCCAGAAAATGATCCAATGTGCTCCAAAATGGTCAGTCCATGCCCAAAAATCTGTGACAGTCTAGCCATTGTGAAGGATTCTGACGACCCTTATCAAGATTTTCGCAAATCCATGCTTCAAATGATCTTCGAGAGAGAAATCTATTCAAAAAATGATTTACAGGAGCTTCTCAACTGTTTTTTGGAACTAAATTCACCTCATCACCACCAAATCATCGTTAAAGCGTTTGTAGAGATCTGGAATAGCGTTCATTCAAAAACTCGAGCCGCCGATGCTGCCTCCAGCGCGGAGGAGATCAAAAGTAGTCCTATTGTTCTTCCAGAAGTGTCCCATTCACGTGATGCTTAGGCCATGTGAAGACATTAAATTTACAGTTGAGAACATGCACGGTGAGTTTTAGGCCTCAAATTAATGGGACGACTGAAATGCAGAGAGGCCACAATTTAAATGGGTTCTGTTGACAGTAACAGATGTATGATACGATAATACATTTTCCTTAATTGTCCGTATCTTTGAATGTACATTTTCCGTATGCAGACATTTTTACTGCTCATTGTGTCTCTGTCTAATATGAATGATCCAAATTGAGGTTCATCCTCCCATTTTTGATAAATTAACCGCCACCACCGCACCTGAGATGGCACTTTGGGGTGCGGGAGCAATTTTTTTCGTTTACTGTCTGTATAGCAAAAGAAAAACATGGGTGCTTCCCGAGCTACAAGTCCTACAACACAGGAGCGGGATTCTCTAAGCATTTACCTAAATTTCGATTTTTGTAAAATAGGAGGATACACAAAAATACCAATTGAAAGAATCAGTTCAATGGAAAGTTTTTTATTCATCAATCATTA